CTTACTTACTAAATAATTTCCAATTAAAATAGATTGAATTAAATTAAATTGAATCTACAGAGTCATTCTCTCTGCTAATTTTAATGCAGTTTAATCGCATGTATTCCAATATCAGCTTTCGTATATAAGAATGAGTTTAAAAGCTTTAATCATATAGATTGCAAACAGATTTTAACCCTTTCGTTACTACTTCGGGCGACTATAGTCGTTCTCCATAAAATGCCATTGATACATGAGCGACTATAATTGCTCTACATAAGATGCCGCGTATTGTACATATAACGAGCAATTGGAGTATTATATATCGAGTATCTTTCTCTGGAAATATAACATCATATTTTGTTTCTTTTATAATTTGTTTCTCATGAGATTTCAGATCAATAATAAAAATCATCAAAAAAATGTCGTAAACGTGACTGACGATCTTTCTCTATTGTGCACATTTTTGGCGCGTTCAGCGGGAGTGTCGCGGCAGAGAAATTACCCGTAGCAAAAAGATTAAAATCGGACGATATTGTCGACTTGACGATACAGTGGTGAAGATTTCGAGAAAAGATAGTAAGTATGATCTCTATAAATTTAATTTATGTAAATAATAAATTACGCGAAAATACTTAATATATATTTCAATATTCTCTCAATATATATAGACCATTTTAATCTTTAAAATTTTGATATTACTCCGCTTCTTTTTCTAGAAAGGAGAGATATCCATGAGAATAATTTTCTCCGCGTAAAAAAGAAAGATTATGTTAAATTAGAAACTTAGATTAAATTAACATTTTTACAAGTTTTAACTTTAAATGTTTGAATTATATTGGTCATAAGTTATCATTATAAGTATAAATATATCACAAAAAAAATATAAACAAAGCACGAGTAATATTAACATTCTATCTTGTTTTTGTATTATATAAAATATAAATTTTAATATATTATAACTTTCGAATTGTCAAATTTTTCAAGATCGGAAATATTCGGAACAATAAATTTAATAATAAATAGAATAAAGTATGTAAAACAAATCATCTGAATATTGTTATTATATCATCTTATATATTATTATATTATTATATTATTATATTATATTATATTATTATATTATTATATTATTATTATTGTTATAAGTTTGATTTGGCACATTTTTTTTTAAATAATAACAGCAGAAGTATTCAGATGATCTATTTTAAATGCCTTATTCTGTATATCAAAGATAAAGTCATAAATCTACATTTAAAAAATTACTATATTATATAATAGGTATTTACGTAAAAATGTTTCACACAAAGTATTTACAAAAATACAAAACACTTTTGGAAAGTGAATTTTAAATAAAATAATGAAAAAAGTTCTTATAGATATAAAAAATTTACAGAAAAACTAGACTTGCAAAAAAAGTTAGGAAACTCAGAAATTAAAAAAATTATGAAATTCGCATATATAAGTAAAATAAATCATCTATAATACAATCCTATTTTTTGAGGGGAGATTAACATTAGATTTTCAAGTGTGAAATTATCTTAAAAAAAATTAAGAATTTTTTATTCGAAAAATTTCAGAAATAATGAAATATATATTTTGAAAAAAAATTTAAACAAAATTTGCATCATTTTATTGTATTTACTAAACTACGTAAAAAATTTTTTTGAAAAATCTATATCTAATTTACTTCTCAAAAAAATGTTTTTATTATATTTCTGGAAACTTCTTTTCATATGTATAAATAACTTGTATGTTAAAATTTTTTTTTAAATAAATAAAATTATTTTTTAAAATTTTCATTTTAATAATTTTCTTTAATAAATTGATTTCATGATCCAATATTTATTTTTAATTTATGCATATAAATTATTCATATTAAATTTAAATATATTTAATAACAATTTTTATGAATAAAATAAATATTTAAATATAAAATTATATATATATGTAATATATATATGTTATTTTATATTTGTTATTATATTTGTTATTTTATATTTTTATAAAATATATAATAAATGATAAAAATATGATAACTGTAATAATAATATTTCTCAGAAATGTTTGAAATACAAATATTTGTTACCATGTACATAATATAAAAGATAATACTTTACAAATATTACATTTTGGTACTGTCTTTTTACTTTTAAAATAACAGAAATCTACATCGATTTTAGAATTCACCGAAATATATCTAGAGATATGCTTTTAAACCATAGCATATTGAAAAACATTTTTGAATCTGGAAAAAGAAAACTGATTATGTGTTAATGATGTGTAAATTATATGCAATTTCATTATGTGAATGTGAATGTTGATATTTTTATCTCAGAGAATTACGTTATCTGAAATATCCAAATTCTTGGAAACTTATTTAAAGATTGAATCATGTCTATTACTTTTCTTTAGAATAATTGAAAATCTTATTTTTTTTATTTTTTATTTTGTCTTGAAATCAATTGATTTAATTGATGCAGATAGTGCCGCGATTACGAATTGAATAGTAGCATATTTTTACTGTCAATTACAAAGATAAGCGATCATTTTTGATTTAAACTTTCTTTAAATATCTTTTATTTTATTATTAATTATTCTTGAGATATTCTTTCACGAAAAAAAAAATTCTAAATTTTTTTGAAAAGATAATTTTACTTCTTAAAACCAACCAACGAATGTTGACACTAAATAAAAATAAAATTCTATTAGAAACATTTTTTTTTATTTCATCATTTCATCATTTTTTTAATTTCCGAATTGGCTAATTAGTTGCCTAGATAGAAATGAGAGTAAAATGAAAAGATTTAGTTCAGAATATATAATAATATCGTATTGCAGTATCATTTATATAATCCTGTAATGAAAAATAAATATATTAATATTTTTAAATTTTAGATATACAAATAACTATTTTCTGATTTTCGATGTAACATAATATAATATATCATATAATATAACTATAATATACTTATGTTGTTTAAAAAAAAAATTTTATTATTTTTAATTATGCAAATTGAAATCTATATTTATTATTTAATAAAGATTTATTTTGAATAATTTACAATAAATTCCATAATATTTGGCATTACACGATAAAATATTTCATTTAAAATTATATGTTTTTTTCTATAGACAAACTTATTTTTTTAAATTATTCTTACAATTATTTTGTAAAAATAATATTTGAATCAATTTCTATTATTATATTTTATAAATTTCTATCATTATTGAATAATAAAAGTAAGTCAATAAATAAAGAATCAATTGACAAATTCATTTGGATTCAATTTCTAATTCGAAGAAAAATAATAATAAATAATTAAACCAGAATATATATTAATTATACAAATCAATATCACATGAATTAGTATTATATATTCACAAAAAATGCGTATATATTACAATTTTTCTTTTTATACATATATATCTAGAATATATATTATAAATTCATTAATTTTTTTTTTATATTTTTATTTACAATATATATTATCAATGAACGAATTAAAACTAGAACAAAATATTATTATTTCGACAGTGAGAAAGATTATTCAACTAAATTTTGATATTTTAATATATAAAAATATAAAATTCAATTTTTTAAAATTTTATTTTTTTAATTTTTTTAAGTAAAATATTACTATCTCATTTTTTCATTCTATTTATCTTCTTTTTTTCTAATATACTAAATTTGTTAGCAATTGTAACGCTATTTTAATAATATGTCATAAAGTCGAATTTAGAATTTGATAAAATAACATATTCAAATACATAAAATATATAAAATTCAAATAAAATTAATTAAATTTTAAAATAAGTTTTAATTAAATTATCTTTAAACATCTTATTAAACAATCATCAAATGTAAAAAATTAAATAATAAATAATAATTAAAATAATTTTATTTAAAAAAATTAATGAATAAAGAAATTAATAAAGAATAAAGAATAAATCAATATGCAGTAGTAATGTAAAAAAAGTACAATCCTTCTACGGATTTTTAGTGAATATAAAATATAATATTAATATGATGAAAATGTAGATATTGAATTTCGATTATTATTTTTTTTTTCAATAATTTTATTGATTTTATTTTTTTTGTTCAATAATTTTATATCAGAATAAAAAACGTTGAATATAAATGAGAAACAAAAATTTTTCAATTAATATTAATTTGTGAAATTCAAATTAATTTAAATATTATGACATTTTTACATATGTGAAATAATTAAAAGAAGCAAGTTTGTGTGTACTAAAACACAAATTCAACTTTTCTAATGCAAAATCTTTTAATTTATTTCAAGGAAGTAAATTGAATATTGTTTAATTTACATCGAAATTTAGAAATAATCGTCCATATATGAATATCATATAAAAAAAGATATAATTGTACATTATACACATATTAATACATTTATTTTTCGAAAAACTCTACTATATCGTAATCATAATACTGTTGCATACCAACTCTCATTCCATCATTGTCTTTTGTTTAATTCAAACTTAAAATATTTATAATTTTTTAATTAAGTTTTAAAAATATATATGTATATATACTTTATATATATATATATATGTATATATACTATATACTATATGTATATAGTATACTATATGTATATATATATATATATAACTTTTTTTATCGTTTTGATATTTAAAATCTCTCCAAATATACTCTCTCCAATTATTATTATTATTGTTAATTAATTTTTATTTCAAGTCAATTTTATCATGTGAACCTTTGCTTAAAGCTTTAAGTATATAGTATGTATATATTTATGTATGTTAAATTATATATATATATATATATATATATAATATATCTATGTTATTCTAAAACCGAATTCATACCATATAATAAAATACTTTATATAGTAAATGAAATAATTTATTATATAATTCATTATATAATAGATAAAAATCATATGAAATGATTCTCTTTTATTCATATTTTTTTTGTCATAAGATGAATTTTAAAAAATTAAATTAATAATCTTATAATTTTTTCATATAATTTCACTAATAATTTTTTCATATAGTTATTGAATAATGTTTTAGATAATAATAATATTGATTGATATTAATGTGAAAAAAATATAAAAAAATATGCAATTTTATTTAAAAACACAAAGTCAACTTTTATATAATATTATTTAATCATGTTCAATCATAAAAAAAATAATATGAAATTATGTCTTTTCTTATAATGTCTTTTCTAATATGAATTATGTCTTTTCTTATATAATTTTTGTATAAAATATATTTTTTTATACAAATAAAAAAAAATAATTTAATTTAAATAATTTATGAATTATTTGAAATGATCATATTAATATCCTCAGAAATATAAAATATAATAATGTTTTTATTTTGAATACCTTCATTTTTCTCATTTATCATTATTATATTTTTAAATTAATAATTTTTCTACAGCATTTAACATACAAGGAACATTTTAGGATATTTATTATATTTTTCTTTATTTATTTTCTATATTTCTTATAATTTCTTTTAAAAAATAAAAAACAAATAATAAGTATTAATTTTAGTTATTATTTTGCTTTCAGTTTTACAATATATTTTAAAATTGTAGTCTTTAAAATGTATAATTTTTCTTTATTTTAGTGAAATAATGAAATTTTATTATGTTCTGTTAGATAATTATTTAAAAAAAATCATTAAGTATTATCATACACATACAAAAATATTAATTAAAGTTCACTTTTCAATCTCGAAATATATTCAAATATACAAAATGTTAAAAAAAAAAAAGAATTCTTCTTAATATTTTAATTTTTTTAATATATCTTCTAAGGAAAATAATTTAATATATCTCTAAAGAAAAAATTATTATTATTCATCATTCATCAAGAGGCAAAAAATGACCAATAACATAGATTCTATAATCAATCGATATAAAATTTTTTATCATTTTGATTTTATATCATGGTCTTTTATCATTTTATATATATGATACAATATATGATATCGTTAATAATTTCATAATTCTATTTCATAATTCTATTAGATGTAAATAGATGTAAATAGAGAAATTGATTTATATATTAACTCAAAATTATTATTAATATTAATTAATTTTGTAGACAAAATTAAATGGTAATAAATTAATTAATATATATTTAATATTTATTTAATATCGAATATAGAAAACGTTATTCTTGAACATGGATCGTTAACGATGTTTGCTTATTATTTAAATGTGAAAATAGCAAATATATATTTCATATATTTTATTAATAATATTTATTTTTGCATTTATAATTTATTAATAATTTGTTAATAATAATTTTTATTATTATTAGTTTAATTAACTTAACCTAAAATATTATTTCTAAATAATCTATTTATTTATATTCAAAAAAAAAATTTACGACATTCGATCTTCGTGAATGGTAAAAAAAATTTTACATTAATTCATTTCACAATATCCAATAATTGTATGTGATACAATTGTAAATTGTAAAACTCGATTTTATATTAAAAGCATTATATTGATTGGATATTTTTTATTTTTTTTTGACGAGTTTTATAAACCTTTAAACTTAAGTTTTGTACTTTTCTTTTATATTGTATAAAGTAATATTATAATGCGATTACAATTTAACACAAAATTTAATAACCTAATATTCATATATCACGATTTTGATATATCGAATAGTTATTTGAACATAATATACTGTTATATAATGCAATTTTATTATAAAAGATATTATAAAAGATAAAATAAAACAAAAGATAAAGTTATAATAATTTGTTCTGTAATAAAATTTATTATTAATTTCTATAATTAAATTATAATATTTTGTTATATTTAAAATATATTAAATATTATAAATATTTAATTTATAAAATTAAAAAATCATTATATAATATGATTTCTAATTTGTTTTTAAAAATATTTATATTAGTATTATATAATATAGCAAATAATGTAATTTTTTAGAAACATAAAAAAAAATATAATATGACAATTCTTTTGAAATATAA